TCGAAAATCTATATAAAAAAATTAGCTCGATTTTCGAAACCAGCATGCGGCTCGACATAGCAATTGGATAGGGGCATCCGTGGCACAAAAAAAATTAAAAAATTGTGATCTAGTGTTATTAAGTCATGTCAATTGCTGACATTTCCCCAATGATCGAGCCGCGCTGAACAGCAAAAATTGCAAACAATGGCGCGATACTAGGAATATTTAAATGTACATACAAATGGGCAAAAAGGACTAGCAAAATTTAACGGTGAAATTTTACAGTTGCTACAATTGCATGTTTACCATTAAAAAGGCTCATATTTGAAAGGTAAAAAATGTGAATGGATTGAGTGAAATACTTGTATTGAATGATAAATCACAAGAATCTTTGTTTCCATTATTGCTTTTGCTTGAACAAGTACTTACTTGGCTTTTGCTGTAAATTTTCTTGAAGGAATAAATATATGAGTATTTTTTTCTTGAGAGCTGCATACTGAGTTAAAAAATGTTGAAAAAAATAAAATTTCTTTTCCATTTCTTATGCGCCATTTTATTTAAACTTTTCGTTTTTCTTGAAAGCTGCAAACAGCCCTTTAACCGTTAAAATTTAATTCGATTTTTCCTATCAAATTTAACCAGTATCATTTTGATTTTTATTTTTTCGATCATGTTTTCACCGCTATTTTCAGATTTAATTTTAGATTAATTAGATCATAAAAGACTTAAAAAATAAAAATCTCAAAACAACGATTAAATTTGACCGAAAAAAATAGAAATTAAAAAAGTAACGATTTAGCAGTGATCTAAAAATAACAATCTTTATATGTACATATATGAGTTCATTTCGGTCCTTGTAAAAGAGAAAACATTTAAATTTGGTTTATTAAGAGAAACGATTGGAAAAGAAGCACTAGTAAAAAATATTACAACAAACGACAAATGAAATAAATAAAAATTGAGCCATTGAATTTGAATCAAATTAAAAAAATAGCCAAAATTAGTGATCATAATCATTGCTCGTATACATTCAGCAGAAAGATCAGTGAACAGAAATCAATTTTATATCAAAATTTAATGGATCAAACGGATTGAAATGAAAATTAAATACGTAAACTATACATATGCATGTATGTATAGACAATTGACGAATTTACAACGGTGTCGTAAATGTCGTATTGTTGTGTGTAGTAAACTTTAAAAGCTTAAACAAACTATTTTTTAACATTGCGAAAATGTACATATAATATGACTTTGATGGTACTTTGCGAACCCCCTTAATATATTTTTTAGACCTTTAAAGTTTACGACATACAACAATACGACACTTACGATACCGTTGTGAATACCCCAAATATAAAAACTTTTTGAATACAGCTTTAGCCCCTGCATTGGAAAAACAAATAGGATGAACTTAATTGTTACCGACTGTCAACGTTAACGACTTCGCTTACCACATTGTACGTGCGTACACAAACTATTTTTAAACCGATAATAAATTTATATACCGTTTAAGTGAATCTTATCTTCTTACTTATGTAAGTATGTATGTATGTATATCAGTTCTTCTAAGTTATGTGATAACAGGAGAACACGTTTTAAGAATAATTGCTAAGAAAAAAAACTTGTCGTAGGTGAAATTTTTGGCCGAAAATAAGAAAAGATTTTTTTCTAAATATTTAAAAGCTGTCTTTGCGCGGTCAATATTATTAGTCTAAGTTTTTCATAAAAATATAGTTCATACAATGGTAAAAACCACAAGAATCATTTTTATTTAATATCATATATAACTCGGAAAAATGCAAGAAATTTTAATTTTACAATTCGATTTCTGAGAAAAATTTTGAGTGTGCACTATTGTAGCCCATTAAATTTTAACATAATAAAGTTCAATTTTCAAGCCGCTAAAAATTGCCGTTGATTTTGCAAATTTTTTTTCTGAGGGTGCGAAAAAAATCTCAACTAGCGACTTGAAACATGCAATTTGTTATACTAAAATTTTAAGGGCTACAAGAAATCGAATTGGAAAATTTCAAAGAAAATGTCTTGCATTTTCCCCTGAGTTTTGAATGAAATTAAAAAAATGTATTCTTGCGGTTTTTGCTTTTGAACGAACTAACCGACCGGCAGATGACCGCAAGCTCAACCGAATTTTTCGCGCGTTCTCAGCGCAGTTTAATTGAAACATTTCAAGCGTTGAGTTCAATAAAAAGAAAACGGCGAGCCGACTTCCTCCAATTCAATATGTTGAACAAAAAGTTTCCACATTTCAAAATAACAGTGCTTACCTGCTTCTTAATCCAGGCGCTGCAATCACTTAACGCCACCGCACGCGTACTGGGCGTCTTCACTTCCTACTCCAAATCGCATATGCTGATCTACTGCATCGTCGCCGAGGAATTGGCACGCGCCGGGCACCACGATGTCACCGTAATTGGCGTTAAAGAGAATTTCTATCCAAATGCCACATACAAATATATACGCCTGCAACTGCCAGACGGCGGACAATTAGATGACAAAGCGCTGCGCGACGTAGTCAATCAACCTAGACAGTCGTTCATACGAAGCATGCTAACCACAACGCGACACTATATGCGAATGGCCAATGAGACGTTGTGGCTGCCACGTATGCGTCAGTTCTTAAGCGAAAATCGCGAGCATGCATTTGATCTGACGCTTTTTGGGTTTGTGATGAACGAATTTCTGATGGGTTTAGCGGCGCATTTTCGCTCGCCCATTTGTGATTTTGTGGACAGTACAGCCGGCTATGCAAATCAATCGCTTTGTTGGCAATTCCGCAATGGTCGCGTATGTGCCTACCTTGTTCAGTCATCTGCAACAGCCGATGGATTTTCTGCAAAGAGTGGGGAATTTTATTACGTCGAGGTTGGAGGATTTATAAGAGCTGTATTTGGATTACTGCACGCAGCAGTTGTATGTGTAAGTAGTGAGTATGTGGGAAGGAGGGTTTAGGGAGTGAAACGGGATGGCCACTGTGGGGAAACCGCAACTTAATATATATTTTTTTTTACATAGAAGTTTCAAGCCCACAGTAGACAAGACCATGCAGGTAGGGTCGTGAAGAGCATGAAGGTTATTTCGATGCAAATAAAAAAGCGCCAGGAAAGCCATAAAATAGTTATGGTTTTCAGGAATAATTAAAAAACGATTATATAAGAATGCTTTATTCGGATTAGATATGAGAGCTTGTGCTGCCCTTCGGTATGTGGCATTTTGGTCCATCCCAAGGCTCTTTCGATAATCATGTGTAGCAGCATTTCGCTCAAATACACACATAACTACATATGTATGTATGTACGCCCTGAAGCCGGCGTATTCATTCATCTAACCTAGCCGATAGCTCTTATCGCACTAGGAAATCACATTAATGAGCCAAATTACCAATTCATTGATAATCCATGTCATAAATAAAATCATGAAAAATTTTTCAGTCACTGAGGAGCCATTTCAAGTGAATTCTTATCTTCATATAAAAAGTCTTTTGCCCTTTATTATTTTATTATTTTAGATTTGAAAAAAAAACTTCGCTTTTAAGATAAGATAGATGGTTACGTACATACACACATACGCTTGTGGTCAGCTGATTAAGTTAAGTGACATTTTGACCAACTTTGGTTATTTTTCTTTTGTTTATTTAATGTCTATAATTTTTTTTTATAAAAGTCTAGTACATTACAGCGCCACATAACACCGTCAGGCAAACAAATTATTAAAAATCAACGGGATTTTCTAGCATCTGGAAATTTGCACTTTGAACTACCAAAATTTAATGGGCTACAAAACTGCACACCTGAAATGTTTCTAAAAATTTTTAATAAAAAGTTTTAAGTTTTTGGCTGTAATTGTTAAAGTTTGTTTAATTTTTATAAATCTTGTACGAAGTTTGTAATGTGTATTTATGTTGTACTGGTTATGTAATGTGCTAATTTTTTATTAAAAAAAAAAAAAACAAATAAAAAACTTTAAATAAACAAAAGAAAAATAGCCAAAACTGCTCAAATTATTTAGGCGACATAACATATTCAGCTGACCACAAGGGTAAGTATGTATAAACAAAAACATGTTGTGGCATTATGATAAAAAATAATGATAAATACACAGTAAACACATGGATAACAATTACAATACCAAAAAAAAAAAATTCTATAAAATAATACCGACCACGATAACAATATCGATGACAATAACAATATCGAAAACGATAACAATAACAATATCGATAACGACAACAATATCAATAACAATAAATAACAATATCAATAACGACAACAACAAAAATATGGCTAACGGCTATAAATTGATATATCAGTGCTGAAGGGCCATCTCTAACTAACATCGGCTGCTTGCGTAACTTCGTTTTTGCTTAGGGGTAAGTATTCAAAACCTCCAATGAACTTTGGGCTCGTGGAAACCACCGTAAGCCAATCTAGCCTAAGTGGTATTCATCGAGAGATAGTGCAGCCTTTAATATGGCTGGCCATGAAGTTTTAACAAGCTTCTCTACTTTTGCAAATACATGTACATAAATACGTTCATATGTCCATATGAAAAACAACGTCTCAAGCTAGTGCTTTATATGTAGCTCTATGCGCACTCAGGTACTCGATAAGTATGGCTATCTCTTAAAAAAGTATGTTTTATATGCCGTTAGTCTAGCTAATCCTAGCATTTCAAATGCGCAATTAATTAGATAAATTTGCGACAACGACACTTCATTGACAGGTCTCGAAACAATGTTTCTTCAGATATGATAACATTAGGCGCACATCTCACATTCCTACTAAGATCTCACCTTGGCCGCTTTAAATGGATGCTGACGCGCACAGAATGATGCTTATCATCATTTAGCAAAGATTACACCCCTATTATTAGACATCTGTGAGTGACTATATTAGGTTGGTAACCTAAGCAAATTTTTTAGTATACAAAGTAGCTTAAAACCGTCTAATTCGCGGGAAGAACAGTGCATAACAAACATAACAAAAAATAAAATAAAAATGATGTACGCTCGCAAGCTCCACTGGCTTTTCGCCATAGCGATATTGGGCATCGTCCTCCTCGGTACCCAAACAAAGCACACACACGCTGCGCGCATACTCGCCTTCTTTCCGACGCCATCCAAGTCGCATACCATAATACAGGCCGCTGTCGCCGATACACTCGCGCGCGCCGGACACAATGTCACCGTCATTGGTGTTTCGAAGAATGTTTACCCGAAAGCGGCCTACGAATTCATACACATCGAGTTGGATGGTGGGGCATCTTTCGATCGAACGGAACTACAGCAAATGGTTAATAAGCCGAAACCCTTCTATGTGACCATTTTCAATATAGTAAATTCGTTTATCAGCATCGGAAATCAAACATTGAGTCACCCGAAAATGCGTGAATTCCTGCGCAACCACGGCGCGGGAGAATTCGATTTGGTGCTGTTGAGCTATGCAGTCAACGACTACACTATGGGGTTGGGCGCGCATTTTCGCTGCCCGATCGTGTCGTCCTTTCAGGTGCAACCGATCTTCGCAAGTGATCGTTTAGTGGGCAACCCGACGGAGCCGTCTTATGCACCGGTATTGCTGAGTAATCTGAGGCAACCACTAACATTCTGGGGACGTGTGGTGAACTACTTGGTCAACATGCTGGAGCAATGGATCATACAGCCGATTTTCGAAAGAGAGTGGCAGGAAGTGTACAAGTAAGTGGCGATGGGGTGGAAATATGGGGATTTGTAAAATGATTTCTATGAAATCTAAAAATATGTATATTTTTGGTATATTCCTTCATACACCGGCAGTTGTCATTCAAATGAATACAAAGGTTTTCGTCAGAGCGAATTTCGCTCTATGAGTGAAAATAACCTCGCTTGAAAAATAAATCTGTGATATTTGGTGGGCAGTCACACAGAGAAAGCTTTTACTCTGTGCGCGTCCTTATAAAATCTATAAATTTAAAGTTTTCCAAGTAGGATATGTTTTTGTTGTGGCAAACTTGAATTAAAAAGAAGCGTTCAGCAAGCCTGAATTTCAAATTTTCTTCCCAATATTTCTGCCACGAAAATCCTTTATTTAAAGGCTCCAATTTGCTTAAATTTATTTTTATTGGATAACAAAAAAAAACTTATCAACCGCTACGCGGCACTTATCGCCTTGTAAGAATCGTCTTTATTTTCAGATAACTGATAGACACATTTTAAGAAAACTGATAAGAAAAGTGGTAAAAACATAATGTCAAAACTACCACAGCCGCACGTGTATCATATTTTTATGATTTATGTAAGTCTAGTAGAAAAAATTTTAGCTAAAAATGTAAGACTGATTTTAAATGTTTTTTATTAAAAAGGTCAAAATGAGCAATTAAATTGTGTAAAGAAAATAAATACATACACTTTTAAAACTAAATTTTCAATTCGTTTTACTAAAATTAAAAATAATAATCGTTCATAACTTTAATAAATATGAGGCGTTCCACGCCAACAACGGCAGCCTTCTAAACAAAAATTGTGTCAAAGAATTTAAGTGTTATATGGCTTAAAACATTTGTACATTCGTCTTTCGAGTGCTATTTTTTCGAAAAGTTCAAATGACGTTGCCAATATGGCGGATAAATGGCATTAAGTTCGAAAACTTTTAAATGTCTTTATCAATAAAAATCTTGGAAAAACTGAAATTATTCTCAATTTTCTTATCCAACAGTTTTTGGTGTCCCTGAATGCACATCTGATGCTACATTTTTTAAATTTTTAAAATGCTCTCTACCGGCACTTGGGGCCTATTTCAAAATGGGGTAAAATTAGAATTTTTGCAAAGAAATTTTTGAAAAAGAAAAATAAAATGCATATTTCAAACCGAAATCTTTGTTTTAAATTAAAGCTTAATCCTTTGACTAGACGCAAATGTTAAAGCTTTTTGATTCGGGTAACGCGTTTGGACACGAAACCCCAAAATCATTGTACAAATAACCGCACCGTACCCGAACTGTCTTACTTACATATGTATTTTTCTATAAACAAAAATTTTATAAAATGATATTGCAGTATTTTTCATCTTATGTGGATAATTCTTGTCACAAATACACAGTTTCGTGCTTATATTTACAATCGGTATCAAATGTAAGTGTTCACATTGTTGTAATATAAAATTCACAGTTATTTTCATGCAAAATTTTTTTTCATTAATTATTTGCGAAAATATAGTTCATTCTATAACATAAGCCATATAAATCAAAGTTTCACACTTTATATGAAGTTCACAAAAATTCAAAAAAATTTTCATCAAAATTTCAAAAAATTTATCCAGAGTTTCTTCAAAATTTTTGAGTATGCAGTTTTGTAGCTCATTCTATTTTAGTAAGCAAAGTGCAAGTTTCAAGTCGCTAGAAATTACCGTTGACTTTTTAGATTTTTTTTTTTTTGTGGAGGGTGCTGCGCATTTTCTTCCATATAAAAATAGGTTTTGATCACGGCTGGGTAGTCCTCTTGAGATTGCGTATGTACCCAAACGGATGGGTGGGTTGTATTTAGCAGCCGTTCATTTTTGGCGGATGAGTGAAAAATCTCTTTTGGCAACTCTTCGAGTAGTTTGTAATAAACGCGGCAGTGGAGATTTCCATGCACGAGTTCTGCGCGTGAATTTCTTTTGTTGATCTACTTAATGCAGATACATACATTGTATTAAAAATGGAAGGGCAGAAAATTCAGCAAAGCGCGTAGATTTAATCGCATTGATTAGAAACTGTACTTATAAAAATATTTATAAAATGCAACGTAACGAAAAGTGTTAGTTATAAGGAGACTGTGTTTGGTCGTTTTCTGACCATGAGAATTAATATTACGGTCATACCCCTTTAGATCTGAAAGATTATGGGTGCTAAACGTCCTTAGAAGGACGTTTGGGTTTGAAGTCTAAAAAATAGGACTTGCGATGTTTTCAAGACTGCCAGACCTCTCTAATTCCAGTTTTACTTGGGGGATCAACGACGAGCTGCTCTAATTGAAATATCTCGTACTGAAAATCTGCGGTTGAGCCCCATTCTTCGGCTTTTACCCGACTTGTGCCCAAAACTAGAATCAATACTTTTGGAATTTTCGAAACTATCGCGTTTTGAGAAGCAAAACACTATGTCACTTTATCAGAAAGAATGCTAGGCAGACTAAATGAATTCCGCGAAAAGAAATTACCTGCAGCCGCATGTCGAGTAGCTTCAAAGTGGTGTAATTGTAGCTCGGTCCGCCAACAAGCCTTTAGGAGCTAAGATAACGAGAATTGCCATTCATCCATTCAAGTTAGCGTTTTGGAGATGCATCCCTGAAACTCTTTGTTAGCCACTCGATGCCTTCAACGGTGACTTCACTGGAACAGAACACAAATCTTTTAAGAGATATCTAGAAAAGACCAACGAACTCAATGTTTGAGTAAATTTAAGAAGGTTTTAATGTGCGACTCACTCCCGTAATTAAATTTTATTATACCCTATCAAAAATTTGTTTATTTTTGTATGTACATACATACAGTATCTCCCGAACAAGTGCCTACTGCAACAACGTTGCAATTATACGCCGACTGCTGTTGCCATAAACTCATTTAAATTATTAATGTATTATTTTTTATCTCGAAACCAGCAATCGCCGGCCAAGTCGATTTCAATTTATTATTTTGCATTCCTACTCGATTTTAGTTTGCTTTCATCAGTTCGAGCGCGTAGAACTCAACAATCGTCGGTGCGCGTCTATAAAATTAACGTATTTACTAAATAACTTCCGATAATATATAAATCCGCATATTGCATATATACTCAATGTCGCCACCGGCATCGCAGCGCATGACGTCATCATCATTGCTGTGCTACCTGATACCCTTGGCATTGGCCGTCAGCCGCTTTAACAGCGTCTCTAGCGCGCGCATTCTCGGCTACTTTCCTTCGCCCGTCAAATCGCATCTTATTGTGCACGCTGCGCTTGCCGAGACGCTAGCGCAGGCAGGCCATGACGTCACCGTAATTGCTAGCGTGCGGAACGTGTATCCGCATGCCAAGTATGAGTATATAGAAATCGATGGCGCAGCGTTCGATCCGTCCGTTCTAACGGGCATGGTGAATAATTCGAAGCCTTTCTATCGCAAATTCGATGACATGATGAAGGCCATCAGCACATCGACGAACGCCTCTATTACACATCCGCGCATGCAGCGTTTTCTAAGCGAACATGGCGCGGGCGCTTTTGATCTACTACTGCTGGGTTATTTTATGAACGACTTTCATTTGGGTTTGGCGGCGCACTTCCAATGTCCGCTTATTGTATCTTTTATGATACAACCTATTTTGTCGGTGAACTTGTTGTTGGCGAATCCCGCAGAGACTGCTTACGTGCCGACTATGCTGAGCAATCTTGCGCAGCCCTTGGATTTTTTGGGGCGTGTAAAGAACTATCTCTTTGCTCTGCTAGAGGAGTTTAGCATGGTGCGTTTTATAAGGCGACTACAACAGGAGCTTTATGAGTAAGTGAAAACGAAGAGTGCATTGCTGAGATAGGGGCGAGGGGGATGAGTACTTGAAAAGTGGTGGTTGTGACCAGGGTTGCCACTGACGAAAAAAAAATATTTACCATCCACTTGAAAAAAAAACTACCAAATACCTTTTTTTTAGTTTCCTATTTTAAAATTGTTTATTAACGAACTTTTTATTTAACTAATGATATGGTATTTGAGATCATATTAATGTCATCTTCTCGGTTTTCTTCAACCACAAGCGAAAGTGTTGAAACTAAAGGCAAAAAAAAAAAAATCAACTGGAGTTATTACAGACAAAAACAGTGACTTAAAAAAGCGCTATGTATTTTTTTAGTACTGAATATTTTTCAAATAATTTTTTCATTTGATTTTTTTTTTTTTTAATCTATGCATATTGTTTGCGCTTTAACCAAACCCATAAAAATCAAGGACTCAAGCTATTTACAACATTTGGACAAATTCCAAAACATCTAAATTTAGAATTTTTTACTCTGATTTTTAGAACAATTTTGGGTATGACGTTTTATAGCGAACAATCATAACGTGTAATTCATACCCGTGCGGGAATTAAAATAGTATTTGTTTTTCAAACAAAATAATTTAACAAAAATTTACCAAAATGAAAAAAATACCCTTTTACCAACCCAAATTTTTTCTATCAATTTTGGTAATAATATACAACGGAGAACGTTGTTGCCTAGGTAAGACGATACAGAAGAAATCACACGTGGACTCGGGATAGACTAGAAACCAATGGTTTGATATGGTCCAGCTAGTGAAGTCAGTTGGATGTACACTAAAGACGTGAATACATTGATGTAAATCGTTGGGGAAAATTAATGTTTCCTTTTGAATTGTTATCTGGGAAAATTGTGATATTTCCTGGTCTCAATTATTCTCAAATTCGTTTATCTGTAGTAGGTACATGCATTGCTGCGAATGTAGGTGAGAAACTCTGGAACTAAACTTTAAAAATAGGTGCATACTCCCATACCAATGGTAATATGGCTACCGACTTTTACAGCATTTGAAGATATGAGATTGAGACCGAGCCAAATAGCATCTAAAGTGTGAATGTCTCGCAGTTCGAAGGGCCTCACTGAAACCGATAATAAATAACATCAGTCCAAAGGCCGATTCGATAACAATAACGATAACAACACAAAAACCAATACTACTACTTTTTTTGACGACTTATTCAAAGGATTCTACCAAAATGATTATTTTGCCACTTTTAGGTCAAAATATCTCAAAAAATGGAGCCAATCTAATATTTCTAATTTAGGATTCTGATTCTACGGAGAAAATCCCATAAAAATCAGGGTTCACTTGTCGCGCCGCAAACATTTTTTGAAATTTTGTTGGCCTGTGTACTGTTTGATTGGTTTTTGGCTTATAATGAAAATTGTTAAAATTTTTTAAATATGCATATCATCAATAAAAATAAATATGAAAGTGCAAGGCTATATTTTTATTTAAGATACCTAGCGATTTAAGTAAGTAACATAAATTATTGGAAGGAGAAAAATATAGTTACATTTCGCAGACCTGTGATATTAGCATCACTTTTGGAATGAGATGTACAAACTGTCGGGTCACAGTGGGTGAACTCATCAAAAACGCACTTACTTAGATCAACGAATTTTAGCGGCACACTTTTCTAGTTAAAACGTCTAATTTTATTATGTCGACTTAATTGAAGTGTTCATATTTATTTTCTGTCTGTCCATATGTATATGTAGGTAAACATACATACATATGCGCATGCGTGTACAGCAGCGTGCGCGTGAATGTTTAGGCACAAATTACATATATATAATTATGTTTGAATATATATATATATGTTTTTCCTTCCAAAACTGTGAAGATAACCTTTACCCCCAGACCTTTTTTATTTGGTTTTTCCCAGTTATAAACTAGCTTTACTGCCCAGTTCTAAATTGGTACTAGTAGTACTTCCAAATGTATGTATGTATGTATGCTGAATTAAAAAAAATTCAAATAAATTGAGATGCTAAATCAAGACCTGAAAACGTAAAATCCGAGATTAAAAAAATATTTGGCATCTGAACGCAGACTGGAGCGAACTCCAAACGGACTGGTATTGACCCCCGTTGTGGTATAGCCCAATTTCCTGTGAGGTGGCTACGCGCCCAGCTCCAAATACACAAAGTAAGTGAAAAAGTTGCATAACATTCACACTCGCATTAAGTCGCCAAATTCCAAGTATTCAAGACACAGCCATCATCACCTTTCCTGCCCACCGCCAGCCCACAGCTGTTACTTGCTGCGTATTTATGCTAACCGAAAACGAGTTCTACCACTCAGTATTCAGCGAATCGCCAAATTGTAACCAGCACGCCAAAAAATTAAGCGGCACGCGCGCGTGAATTCTGTGACGCGTCACCCCGCAGTCGGTACGTTGTATTTCAAAACCATAATGTACTCCACTAGTCCGCTGGTCCTGGTCTCCTGTGCGCTCTGCTATCTACTGACCGCCCACTTATTGGCTGACTGCGAGGCGGCGCGTATTCTCGGCTTCTTTGCTTCGCCCTCGCAATCGCACATCATAGTGCACTGCGCGGTAGCTGATGCGCTGGCGCTTGCCGGCCATGACGTCACAGTCATTGCTTCCAGTCCGAATTTACGCAAGCACGCCAAGTACAAATACATCGAATTGGAGTCAATGGGCGCACATCCGCTCATGTCTACGGATATGGTAAACAAACGTCAGCCGTTTTGGCGACGCTTTGGCTCGCTGCTGAGTACGATTAACCGAAGTGCCAATGAAACGCTGCATTATCCGCGCATGCAACGATTTCTGCAGCAGCATCAAGCTGGCGCATTCGATTTGCTGCTCTTCGGCTATTTCATGAACGATTTCCAGCTGGGACTGGCAGCCCATTTTCGCTGCTCCATCGCGCTCTCCTTCATGATTCAGCCGATCTATGCGGTCAATAGATATGTGGGGAATCCCAGCGAGGCGGCGTATGTGCCGGGCATCTTTGGCTATTTGGTGCAACCAATGAAATTTCGTGAGCGTGTGAAAAATTTAATTGTGGCTGTGATCGAGGAGAAAGTCGTGCAACCGATGCTGGAGTATCACACCAGGAAGTACTACAAGTGAGTGGAGGGGCGGGAGTAAAACTTAATAGGCATAAGGTGCCGACATTTTTGTGAAAGGCGCAAGAGTGGGGCGCACGCATTATTATGCGTTTAGCTAGCGACTCTGATGTGTGCATATGTGTTACAAAATTGTGATGTTATTTTATCAGCCTGGTGTATATACATATGTACTTACATATATGAATTTCTTTGCCGAATTGGAATTGGAAGCATCAGCCTAAGCTAAGTCAGCGAAGCATTTAGTTCCTACCTAGACGGCCTATTGAGCATCTACAGCTTAGTATAGAGTAGCTCAGGGAGATCTCTCAATTGTCCTGCCGATGACAGACTGAAAAGCACAGCGCATCAAGTGAGTGTGTTTATTAGTGCCCCGAAATGCTAGCATTGTTGGCACCAGCCGGCAGTGGGAGGTATCAACAATCTTGGTAGAGCTCGAGGTCTGTCCAAAACCTCAGCCTTAGATGCCAAGACGATGTATCTGACGTCTGCTGTGCTTTTCTTTATCTCTATCTGAGCCTACAGATCCCAAAATTCACTTAACTTGATTTTTGAGCGGTCTACCACACAAGCGCACAAAAATTCGTCTTTTCATCGCTAATATTTACATCCAACTATGTATATTGAGACGGAATCAAATTTTGTGTCCAAGTGTATGTAGGACTTCGGAGTTTTGTTGTTGTTTTTGTACTACGAAGTTTCCAAGCAGAAAGCTGCTTCAGAGTGCCTTTTCTTTAGTTCGGTTTGGTTAGGTCGTCGGGTTGATAAAAGCCATTGCCAACCCAAAACTGTATTTTCCTTCCCGTTACAACATCTTAAACATGTAAACCTGCTCTTGAAAATTGTGTCTTCCCCGCCAGCCTAAAGCAAACTCTGTTGGATTATGCGGCTTCATGAACGCCACTAATAGAGCTCCTGAATACTATTTCCATTAATTAAGGAGTTTTATCAATACTTCGAGTGAAGATCTTTTCCATAAGTGGTCTGAGAAAAGCAGAAAGTCCTAGTTTCGAAATGTGACCGACTCGATTCTAACAAGAATAGATCTTGCATCAAATGTTAGCTATTTCGGACGATCGTTACTAGTCCTTTCCATATTAGAATCCAGATTTCGGATGGCTGTTGGGCGTGGCAGTTGACGGATTTTTCCCCATCTTTCAGATGTATGTCTTTCTAGGTTAATCTAAGTTCCAAATCGAATTTCATTGAAATCGGATATAATTTGCCACATCCGTCCCTAAGTGTAGTGGGCGTGGCAGTCCGCTAAATTCAACAATTCTCCTCGCTTGGCGTATGACACCAAAATACTTTTTGGATTCGATTGTTTGAAATTCAAACTAAGTACAAAAGCTCCCGCACGCCGCCTCCTGCACTAAGCTCTCGATTTACTATTTAAGTCCAAGATCCAAGTTTTGTATAAGAATTCCCAGTTCTGCAAGCTCTTATTGATTTCGCGTACATAAGGGGGACGAAACCTTCAACAAAAACTTCATTTAAATATACATACTTAGTATAAATCGTCGTAATTACAGTCAATGAACTGAAAGTAAATATGCGCCTTATCTAATTTCATTGAAATTTATGAATTATCAACAAAACATTCCCTAATACTTTTATTGCGGTGAGTTAAAGATTGAGGCCTCAAAATAATTGTAAATCAAAATAATTAACTTTTATGTGTTTCTCCTAGACAGCGTTTGTCTCCTAGGTCACTCTGAATGACTGACATATCGTCAAGTGCTTCAACTAATTCGCTTTGTCATCTCTTATCGTACCATTTGCTTATCAGCAAAGCGGACGGAAGGCATTAGCTTATAATAAGCCGCCTACAGCCTTCAACGCAACCGCCTACTCAAGCAATCACTAAAACCGTAAAGCGATTTGTTAGATTCATTTCATTTGGCGGAGATAAACGATCTTTGTCTCGTCTAATCCATATGCAAATATTTAATAGGCTGGTTCTGCATGTATGCAAAATGATAAAAGTTTTTGTTGCCATAGAGAAACTAATATGCTCAACTACATTTTTGTTGCACTCAGTTTTCGTTGGTCATACGATACACACAGTTTATTCCCAAAGCCACGCGGCATCTTAAGTATGTTTCTACACGGTTTTCCCTCGACCACCGTCGGGTTTATTATTGTCTTTCTCGCGTTTGGCGGCTTCATCGCCTCACCTCCGCTGGTGCAGTCCGCGCGCATTTTAGGCTTCTTTCCTTCGCCCTCACCATCGCATCTCCGCATACACTGTGCCATCGCCGATGCGCTCACACAAGCTGGACACAATGTCACCGTGCTGTCTTCGACCAAGAATCCCTACAACTGGGCTACATACGAGTACTTACAATTGGATCTGCCTTTGTTCCCTAAGGGCTTCCTCCAGCGTTTGGTCAAAAGAGAGCAACCGCTAATGACACGTTATCCACACTTCATTGACGTGGTCACCAGCTTGGCTAATCAGTCGTTCTCCAGTCCGCGCCTGCAGGAATTTCTCGCCACACACGGGCCTGGTAGCTTCGATCTCATTGTGCTCGGTTACTTTATGAACGACTTTCATTTGGGATTGAGTGCACATTTTAAGGCACCAATTGTGATCTCGTTTATGGTGCAGCCCATCTTTGCCGTACACAACTTGGTGAAGAATCCCATAGAGCCCGCCTATGTGCCGACTTTGTTCAGCGAAGGCAAGCAGCCATTGGACTTTTGGGGTCGCGTGCAAAACTTGGTGGTGTCTGTTTTTGAAACATATTTTATAACGTTGAAGGTGGAACGGGAGTCACAAAAGTATTACGCGTGAGTTGAGAGAGAAGAGGGGCGTTATAAATTTGGTTGTTTGGAAAGAGTTAGTGCCTGAAAATCTGAAAATCTTTTGAGGGAGTATAGCACCGCTAAAATGGTTAAAAAGAGCGATACTTAGGATGTTGAATAGCCAGAGTTTAGCACAGCCAAGGGCGTTAAAAATCGGACGAATCTTTGTCGAAAAGCTTGCAATCTAGGATTTTTGTGTTACGTACTCGTAAGGCGTACAAATAAGTAGAAGTAGTAGAGCTTAAAAAACTAGGAGCTAGTGGGACTTTACAAGTTTCGGAACTCCTTCCGTACATTGAAGCTTGTCGTGAGTCGCTTTAGTAAACTCTAATTTGTTTTTGAAGGTATTTTGACTAGTCGATGGCCAGATTAACGATTATATACTAAGTCATGGCGAAGATAGAATCTCTTGTGAACTTTTATTTCAACTTATACCATTTTAAAAAACATAAAAATTAATAATTTTTCCTTTCCTTCTATTTGCAGCTACAATTTCCCGCCCGATCGTTATCCACCACTCGATGAGGTGCGCAAGAACGTATCGCTCGTCTTTGTCAACCACCACTTCAGCCAAGGTCCCATACGCCCAAATGTGCCAAATTTAATCGAAATTGGCGGCATACAAATTAAGGAGAAACCCGATCCACTCCCCGCTGACATCGCCAAAGTGCTCGACGAGTCAAAAGATGGTGTCATCTACTTCAGTTTAGGCACCAACATACAGGGTTCTCACTTAACTGAGGAGAAGACCAAGATAATGTTCAAAGTTATCTCAAAGTTGCCCTACAAAGTACTCTGGAAGTGGGGCGAATCAGTTCGACCTGGCCAATCGAAGAACATCATCTACAAGGAGTGGCTGCCACAGGATGATATACTTGCACATCCCAACGTCAAGCTGTTCATCACACACGGTGGCATGGGCAGCGTCGTGGAGGCGCAATATCATGGTGTACCCATTGTGGGCATACCCCTGTTCGGCGATCAGCCATCGAATATGGCCAACGTTGAACGTTCGGGTTTCGGGCTCTCTGTGGACTATACCACGCTGTCGGAGGAGAGTCTCAACAACGCCATACAAGAGGTGCTCAACAACCCCAAGTACACGAAAGCGGTGCGCGACTTTTCACGCCTCTACCGCGATCGCCCGATGACACCGCGGCAGACGGTCGTCTACTGGGTGGAGTATGTACTGCGGCATCATGGTGCCAAGCATATGCAATCGCCGGCGGTGCACCTGAATCGTTGGCAACTAATGTCGCTCGATGTGATTGCCTTTTTACTGGTGATCGTGGGCAGCGTTGTGGCAGTGTTTGTAAAGATTTGCAGGCTGCTGTGTTGTAGGGGAAAAAAATGTGAAACAATCAAGGGAACTCCGGCGGCAAAGGTGAAGAAAACGCAGTAAATGTATGAGTGAAATGGAAAGAAAGAGCCAAGAAAAGGTTGAAAGTGAAAAACGAATGATGGGAAGAAACAAAACGATTGCTTGAATGTGCATTTGCTGAGATTTTTATAGTCATCCGAGTTTGTGAAAAATATGAATGCCAAACAATCAACTTCGATTGAAGTCGCCGAAGACGGCTGAATGTGTGTACAATAAGCAGCGACCTAATACAAATTTATTTTAAATGTAATATTAAGTAATTCTATAATATTGTAAATTTTTTAAACTAAATAAATATGTACTTACATAAAGAAAACATTACTAGAGTAAGCAAAAAAGCATATTTACATCTTAAAAATACCAAATGGAAATCTCAAAAATTATGTGGGGCATAACATTTGAATGCCATTTTTGCTATTTAATTTTAATTTTTTTTATGTGCATATGTACACATCTACACTAGGGCGGGTAAATTTTTTCTGATTATGCGCATATAGAGGATTCTACGTGTAATTCTGAGAAAATTTGCCGAAGAAACCATGGGTCTAAAACCAATTTGGAGTTTGCCATATTTCGAAAATGTGTTTCGACCAAAATGTGAAAATGTTCACTGTTGCGCCCTCTGGTAGAATTTTAAGAAAAAGACAAATGCAGAAATTCCTCATACCAAAAAAACCTCTTATAGCATGTTATTATACAAAATTTAAGCACTTCTATACGACACTACAGCAAAATTTTTTTTAACCTTTTTCGCAATTTGGCAAACCCCAAATTGATTTTAGGCGCACGGTTTCTCCGGCAAATTTGCTTAGAATTTCACGTGCTATGCGCTCATTGTCGAAAAAATCTTCCACACAAACTGACCCAACCGAATCTATACATATATTTTTTAATTTGCGATTACAGTTGTTAATTTTTATTTTATCTTCGATTTTTAGGACACAATTTTTAATGTGTTATAATTTTTGGAATTTTGTATTGTTTTAATTTTCGACTTGGATCTTTTATTTATACATACATGTATGAGGCCCTGGGATTTTTTTTTGTACTTACCTTCTTAAAATACTTTCAAATGTGAAAAATTTTAAAATAAATGTCGCTAATTCCTTAAACTGATAGTATGCTATGTAGGTTTGTACCTTAAAATTAAGAAATAAGCGTTTCTTATATAAAATTTATTACATTTGAGACTATTTTATGCAGATAAGTACAAAAAAATTCATTCATTTCTTTTTTTTATATTCGATTAATATTTTTATTTTTTCAACTTCAACTTACTTCACATACCACTAGCAGGCATCTTTTGGAGACCCACTTCTCGGGCTGCATCACACAAGGCCCAAGTACTAACATAAACCCTGTCACCGCAGTGCGCATGAACAAAAGAAGAAGAGGACTTGTAGTAGAATCGTCAACAGTGAAAGGTTGCGGTGGGCTATTTCAGCGTTTAGCGCATACAAATCCCCTGGTCCACATGGTATTTACCCATGCCTGCTGAACAAGATAATCTCCCAAAGGCGTATAGACCTACATGTCTCAGCTTTTTTCTAATCAAAACCTTAGAAAAACTAATTGATTTCCATATCAGGGACATCTACCTCAAGGTTAAACCACTTTGTGAAGGTCAACGTTACTGCAATACGTGGCCTAACCCAAGGTACTGAAAAGGCAATGGAGTATAAATAGATTGCCCTGTGTGCGTTTTTCGACATATCAGGTGCTTTTGACAATACATCGTACGAAGCAATATCCGTGGGTGTGACAAGGAAGGACATCCCAAAACTCATAACCGACTGGGTCATAAGTATGCTGATGTCCAGAACTATAATAGTCGAACTAGAAGGTAGTCGGCAAACGATAACGGCCACTCGTGGCTGCCCTCAAGGGGGGTCTCCCCTTTTGTGAACACTGGTTGTGGACGAACTTTTAGAAAGACTGAAAGGGAAAGACCTGCCACAAACGCCCAACGCACCAAGTCTCCACTTAATCTAAGGAGGCAGGATATTCTGCGAATGTAGTGACTGCAGTTTTGACCGGACATTGTCTGATCGGATTATGCTAATGACCTTGTTATCTACGTGGTACGCTGGGAATGCAGTCTGCTCTAAACGTAACCGTAGCTTGGTGTCATCATAGGCTTACCGCCTCTAGCCACAGGATGTGTTATGACCGCAACTGATGAAAAGCTTAGAAGCTACTCCCGCTTCCCAGACGTCAAACTCTGATTGAGTGTGAAGAGGCTTTCAATAGATTGAGAAGCTTTTATACTAGCGAAACAATTTTTGCTATTGATGGGACGAAAATCACTTAAAGGGGCTTTTTAATGTTAATTTTAATTTTTATTATGAGTTTTATATCATTAATATAATGTAGAGTGGATGAGATCTAAAAGAAATTTGAAAATTCGTATTTAATAAGCTTTGATATTGAAGCTTAGAATATTATTTAATTAAGCATAAAAAGATAAAAAGTGGAGTTCGATTAGGCTTTAATTTTAATTATAAAATATATGTATGAAAAAGGGACGTCTTAGCTTTAGGGTGCTCAAGTACGAAGCTTGCAAATTAAGCTTCAAATATTCATACATTTGAAATTTTACGCATTTGTGAAAAGTTTTCGATATCAAGCCTATACGAGCATTACTCAATACAATTACAATAAATTTTAAATTTTTTTTTTGCTATAAGTTAGCTTTAAATCTAAGTGAAATATATATACATACGTATATATTTATGTGGAAACCAGCTACATTAAATATTTTAAGCTTTCACGCTCTTGTGAAGTTTATTGCTCAAGCAAATCCCTACATATTTATTCATTAATTACTTTTTATTTTATAGAGCTTTTGAAGCTAAAACTTTTTGATGAAATATTCCACTCCACAAAAATCGAGCTTTCGAAGAAAATCTTTATTTAATTTAAAAAAAAAATTTTAACAAAAAATGGATTTAAAGCTTTAATCAAATAGTTTTCACGCGAAAGTTTTACACTCCGGTCAAGTAATTTGTGAAGAGCTTTCACGGGAGCGGCCAAAACAGATCAATTAAGACGTATTACATATTTTGAATGTATTTAAATATTTATGCATGCATACATAGAAAATATGTGAATATTCTAATGACTGACAGGTTACTAAGATATCCACACAAAAAAATCTACGTTTCTAATACAAAGTCCAACGCTAATGAAAATATGTACTTGCAAGTATATAAACATAAATAAATAAAAAATACACCAAAACTTAACTGACCCGCGCTATACTTGTTGTGTACGTACATAAGGGTGCCTCACCAAAAAGAGTTGCGGTTTTTCGAACGAAATTGTAAAATTTAGTTAATATATTTTACGACTTCCGCCAAAATATATCGGAAAAATATTAATATTTTCGTAAGCTGGGCCGGTTTAGAAATACCTTCAAAAATCTAACTAAGTACTTTAATTCCGCTAATAAAATTTGTATGCTGGCCTTTTGAGCTTAATAAGATTGTTCTTTATCGAAAAAAGTATACCCCTATTATTTATTTTGAAATCAAAAAATATGTAGAGGTCGTTCAAAGTGCTCAAAGTTTTCCATGTATTTTATATGGGGAAACAACTTTTCGTAGAAATGGTATAGAATTCTTGAAAATCAATATTTTTGGATCGAAAAACTGTGATTCTCTACAGGAGGCTTTCAATAATAATACCCAATTGTTTATTTAACAATTTTTGAATACTAACGTTTTTTTATTGGGAGTTTCTGGCGGACCTATAATTTTTAGTGTCTATGAAAAAATGGTTAAATAAACATTCGGTATTATTATTGGGAATCTTCTGCAGAGAAACAAAGTTTTCCGAGCGGAAAATATTGATCTTTAAGAATTCTATACCATTTCTATGAAAAGTTTTTTCCCATATAAGAAACATGGAAAACTTTAAGCACTTTGAGCGACCTCTAAACATTTTTTAATTTCAAAATAAAAAAAGGGGTATATTTTTCGGTATAGAAAAGTCCTAAGGAGTGAGAGCATACAAATTCCGACTTTACTTTTTCAGATGCATTTTGGGACCACCCTAATGTATATACATGCATTGTACTCATACATACTTCAGAGATAAGCTGAATATAAAAGCATATAGGCAGAAATAGGCAGCGCCACTACTAGGTGTCAGTATATTGTGATAATTTTAAAACAGTTGATGGACGTTACTCATTATCTATAAATTTATAGAACTTCTCAACGAAGTAGTAGCTTGTTTACATGAGTAGGTATGCATGCATATCTACATACATATGTACAAATTAGTCAATAAATTAGCAGTTGATTTATATGATTAAAAACTTCCAAGATATTGTTTATTTAAACGCGCTCTAGATGTACACATAAATATGTACATACATACTCGTATTTGCATAAATAAGTACCCAATAAACATTTACGGTTGGAGGTCAAGTGCAAATGCAATACATATTTCAATTTCAATGTTGATTTTCATGTGTACCTCAAATGGAGAACCAACCCATTCTCAAACAAAAGGGCATTTTTTTTTTTGCAAAATAATCTGAGTTCTTCACCAGCGAAAAGCTAGGATATATATTTTAATTCAAAACTTTATTTAACTCTTAATCAAACCTTGGCAAAAATGTTCGAAAAAATTGTGTATTTATATCCACTTGAGAATCAAGAATTTCTCAAACTTTGGAAAGCAAATTTTTAAATGTTTGCTTTGTGCATATTGTGTAGCTGAGATGAGATGAGATCGAAAATGTAATGTATGTGTATGTGAGTGTGTATATGAATGTAGCAGAGTTTGACAGTTCAGATTTTTCACGAAATAGAAAAAAACTCGAAACTGCAGCCCTGCTGCTACCACCTGTTTAATGTGCCTTGGTTGTCACCATTAGGCTAATTTAATAAAAAAGTTTTACGAATATCTTAAAATTTATTTTTGTTATTTATGGCTTTTTAACAATTAAATCCAAAAAAAACTTTTATTGAGCTTCAGGCCGTTTCTAATGAAAAAATGTTGTGGAAAAACAACAATTATTTACCCAGAAGTTATAGCTACTATCACCACATCTCATCCTCATCAGACTTCTTCACCGCGGTCACTGGGATATATGAACCATTAGAAAAGGCCTCAATCTCAATAAAAATTGTTGAGCTCTTAAAATATTTTTTACCATTATTATCTTAAACTAAATGATGGCAAATCTGTATACATATTTCCCTCCAACAGGGGTCAATTTGAGCGGAGTATAAAAATGGCACTCAAAGGTCTCAGGACGAAGCGAGTTTTGTGTGCAAGAAACTGTCGGTATTACTATGGAAATAGTAAGAGCTGACTTCTATATTTGCTACTTCTCAGTAAGACCGGAGAAAAATTGTTTCTACGAGTCAATCGCCCAATTTT